AAAGGGTGGCTAATATTGCTGGCTAACTGTCCATACACACTGGCTATGTGTCAAAACATAACGAGCTTGCTACATAGGCAGCTTTTTTAGGATATCGGGGGCGCGTTCAAACGTTCTACACAAACATTCGAGCTCACAAATTAAACGTAAATAGCTGTTTTACTTAAATACCCGAATAAAAAGCTCAAATATGGGCATAAATACTAAAAATGCTCACTAGAAAGGGTGCTTGGAATGTTTTGAGACGCGGACACACACAGTACAGTGAGTCAGCACCGCAGCACCGGCTCATGGCTCCTCAGCACTATACAAACTGAAGCATTAAAGTAGTCATGCAGAACGAAAAGCAAAGTTTTAGAAATGGATTTAAAGGCAGCTTTACCTATCGAATGAAAAATGTCAATAGAAGCGTTTCTGTCTGTGCTGATGAGAGACTGAGCTCTCTGAAACTCCACCACTGCCGCGGCTGCCATCTTCCCTATTCAAAAATCTCTCTGCCCACAACCACTTGCGAACACAACCGGAAGTGCGCTAATACGACGCGCGTGAGTGTTGTGGCGTGGTGGGGGTTGTAGTCTTTTCCTGTGCAAGATGGGGTAAAGAAAAGAAAGGTTTTCTAAATTTTAGATTTATACGTCCCATTGGTTAATTAATTAATTAATTCATTCATTTATTCATTCAAAGGGGGGCTAATAATTCTGACTTTATCTGTATTTAGTCAGAATTATTAGCCCTGCATTGAATTTTTGTTGCTTTTTTTATATTTCCCATATTTTATTTAACAGAGAAAGGAAATTGTCACAGCATGTCTGATAATGTTTTTTCTTCTGGAGAATATCTTATTTGTTTTATTTTGGCTAAAATATAAGCAGTTATTAATTTTTTAAACACCTTTTTAAGGACAAAATTATCAGCCCCTTTAAGGTAACTTTTTTTTTCGATAGTCTTCAGAACAAACCATCGTTATACAATAACTTGCCTAATAACCCTAACCTGCCTAGTTCACCTAATTAACCTATTTAAGCCTTTAAAAGTCACTTTAAGCTGCATAGAAGTGTCTTGAAAAATATGTAGTAAAATATTATTTACTTTCATCATGACAAAGATAAAACAAATCAGTTATTAGAGATGAGTTATTAAAACTATAATGTTTAGAAATGTGTTGAAAAAAATCATCAGAAATTTACCAGTACAAAATAAATGTAGAAGACTTTCAGGCTCAGGGTTACAAATAGAACATTGTGGTGAAATGCCTTTTTTACATTTAGCAATAAACTTATTGCAGGGATAGTACCTGTGAAATGTTTTGAAATGAATTTATTTTACCTTATTTGGGAGTAAAAACATATTACTTGTTGACCAAATATCATCTATAAAAGGTAAGGAAAAATATTGTTTCTATTTATTCTATCTATTATATTGCTTTCGGGAAACAACTACTTAAATAAGACATTTTCTGCTAAGTTATTACACTTTTTATCTAAGATAACAAATACAACCAAGTAGAGTTTTTGGAATTTGCTTTAAGACTGAGTTATAAGCAAGATGGATTTTCATTAAGTAAAGCAGTTTATCAGAAATGCTTTTCACAATCAAATTATAATCATTATGAAAAAAAAAACAGTCCCTGAAGAAGAAAGAATTTTCTGATAAATCTCACCACTGCTATTTAGTAAATCTGAAACAAAAATGATTCCCTTGTCAAACCAATCTTTTTTAAAATTTACTTCTGTTTTTATGCAACAAATGTTCAAACAGAAACTTTGTTAGGGGTTTAATAAAACGATTTTCTTAAAACAAATCATACAATTGTTTAGCCTTCTCACCCTTTATTATTTTTAAAGCCTCTGCATGCGGGAAACTCCTTTTTAAGACAATCAAATAAGGAGCTGTTTTCACAATTCTGCATTCATGAATAAAGAATTTATGTAAAATAAGTAAACAATGTGCAGTTAATTCATCATTTTGGTAGTTCAAATGTACTCCAAATTTCCCAACAAATAGACTAAAACATCAAAATAAATTGTTTTATCCAGTTGCCCGCATCAGACCAGAAAGGATTAACCAAATTACAATGAAGAAATAGATGTGCAACAGTTTCAATTGCAGAAATGGCAAACATTACAATTCACATTAAATCTTTTTCTCAGAAACGTCTTAGCAGGGAAAATATCATACATAATGTTAAAAGATGTTCCAAGTATAATCACCATAGTTCTGTGGGACTCCCATCATAAAATAAGTGTTAAAAAAGCATCTACAGTTTATTGTATAAAGCCAATATGACATTTATAGCCACTGTGAAAAAAATATATAGTCTATTATGAATGGGTCTAAACTATTAGAAAGAGTTAAGCTGTTACACTATAATGAATGTTTTGAATGTTATACTCCTTATTTATATATTTTAAATGTAGGTTTTATGTTTATCTAATTGAATATAGGCTAGTTAATATATATTCATCTGTATGCATTTATTTGTTTATTTATTTGAAACTTCTGCATTCAGTTTTTTTTACCTAAATATTATGTTACTCCAATTTTTATTCAGTTGTTTTTTGTTATACTTGTGTTTTATTTATCTTAATAAATATAATTTAAAATTGTATTCATTAGCTACACAATTCATTTTTATTTTAATTTATAAAAGTATAAATAAACAATATAATTACTACAATAGAAAATTAATTTGTATCACAGATTGAACAAATATATTTTTGTATGTTCACAACTTGGCAGCACGGTGGCGCAGTGGATAGCACAATTGCCTCAAAGCAAGAAGTTCGCTGGTTCGAGCCAAGGCTAGGTCAGTTGGCATTTCTGTGTGGAGTTTGCATGTTCTCCCTTTGTTCGCGTGGGTTTCCTCCGGGTGCTCCAGTTTCTCTCACAAGTCCAAAGACATGTGGTATCGGTGAATTCGCCAAGCTAAATTGGCCGTGGTGTATGAGTGTGATTGAGTGTGTATGGGTGCTTCCCAGTGATGGGTTACAGCTGGAAGGGCATCCACTGCATAAAAACATATGCTGCATATGCAGTTCATTCCGCTGTGGCAACCCCAGATTAATAAAGGGACTAATCCAAAAAGAAAATAAACAAATGAATATTTAAACCTTTTTATAGTCACTAGGTGGTGACATATCTCTAAGCTGAAACATCTGCAAATCCTGCTAAAAATAGTGTTTGCCAGTGGCATGCTTTCTGCAGGTTGAAACACATATCTAATTTAATATGCAGAGTAAATTATTTAGATTTTCAAATAAATAAAAAATGAATGTGGAGAAGTATAGATTTGAATAAACATAAATGTATAAAATGCATTGTTTTTTTTCTGAGCACTATATGACTGTTCAGGCTGGACTTACTGTTTCACACATGTCATTTAGAAGCAGGATTAGCACAAGATTGGATCAGCGTGGTGGCAACGCAGTGGCGTAGTAGGTAGTGCTGTCGCCTCACAGCAAGAAGGTAGCTGGTTCGAGCCTCGGCTGGGTCAGTTGGTGTTTCTGTGTGGAGTTTGCATGTTCTCCCTGCGTTTGTGTGTTTTTCCTACAGGTGCTCTGGTTTCCCCCACAGTCCAAAGACATGCAGTACAGGTGAATTGGGTGGGCTAAATTGTCCATAATGTATAAGTGTGAATGAGTGTGTGTGGATGTTTCCCAGAGATGGGTTGTGGCTGGAAGGGCATCCGCTGCATAAAAATGTACTGGATAAGTTGGCGGTTCATTCCGCTGTGACGACCCCTGGTTAATAAAAGAATTAAGCCAAAAAGAAAATGAATGAATAATTTAATGAATCAGCGTGGAAGGTGAAGCAAGAAAAGCTGTTTACCTGGGTTTAATCTAGCGTATTAATACAAATCTGTCATAATTTACTCCCCCTCCACTTGTTTCAAACCTGTTTGTTTCTTCTATTGTGCACAAACGAAGACTTATTAAAGAATGCTGGAAAGCAGCAGTCATTGATTTCCATAGTTTTTGTTTTTCTCTCCTTTTTTAATGGATGTCAATGGCCAAAGTTTCCAACATTCTTCAGAATATGTTGTTTTAGGTTCAACAGTAGAATTGAGCACTTGAATGTAAGTGAACAGTAAGGACATCTCTTTTGTTGTTAACTATGCCTTTTAAAATATGCTAGTAAGATGCAATTACTGGCCACTTTATTAGGTAAACCTAACCAATACCAGGTTGCATTTAGAACTGCTTTAATCCTTTCGTGGCATAGATTCAACAAGGTACTGGAAATATCCCTGAGAGATTTTGGTCCATATTGACATGATAACATCACACAGTTGCTGTAGATTTGGCAGCTGCATATGCATAATGTGAATCTCCTATTTTACCACATCCCAAATGTGCTTTATAGGATTGAGTTCTGGTGACTGTGGAGCCCATTAGAGTACTGTGAACTCATTATCATGTTAAAGAAACCAGTTTTATATGATTCATGCTTTATGACATGGCGTGCTATCCTGCTGGAAGAAGCCATAATCAGATGGGTACACTGTGGTCATAAAGGGATGGACATGGTCAGCAACAAATACTCAGGTAGGCTGTGGCATTGACATGATGCTCAAATGGTACTAATATGCCCACTAAGTGGTCTTCTGCTGTTGTAGCCCATCCGCCTCAAGGTTTGATGTGATGTGTGTTCAGAGATGCTCTTCTGCATACTTTGGTTGTAACAAGTAGTTATTTGAGTTGCTGTTGCCTAAAATTTTAATTTAAAACAAATCAGCTTTTTTTTTTTAGAGTGTATAAATAGCCTTTTTAAAGCATCAAAAAACCCCAACGTTTGAGAGTTTGCTTTGATTGATCTGTGGAGTACGGCAGTAAAAAATAAAACCTCCAGGTGAGTCCGCAGGGAGGCGCTCTTGCACATGTTTTCTTGCAGAAGTACGCAGTGCGCGCGGCTCTGACAGCACAGCATCAAACCTAAATCCCGTATCTGCTGGTGTGGACCAATAGCGCAGCTTCACTGCTCTCAGCATCACCAACCGAAGGAGACATCCAGCATCCCTAGACCACGGGAGAGACCTCCGACGAGACGTGGAATGCTTTTTTTTATTTGATTTGATTAAAAGCCTGCTGTTTTATTGGAATTTAGGCTTTCTGTCCGTCTTGATATTAAATCTTTTTCTTGTGTGGATGATTTTGCATCTCCTTGATGCGCAGTGTTATCAAGGATAAACCCAGACAGCCATTACTGCGGCTCTTGTTTTGCTAAAGCATCGTGGAGGCGAGCAGATTTCCTGTAAGTCAGCTGCATTTCTGTTTTTATTCGGTTGACTGTTGGCCATATTTAAAAGGAAAAACAGGATTTTGGAAATCAACCGATAATAGTTTTGATCGACATTTGTTTTGTTATTTTCATTTCTATCTTTTCAAATTTCAAATGGTGTTGTTTTGCTTAGGAAAATCAATGTCAGTGTATCTTGCCCTCGTGTAAACATGTCAGGGAGGATTGCACATTTTCAGAACCTTGGACAGGGACAAATATAATACAGAGGCGAAAGTAAGAGTTTTCGTCTTTTGTGGTTTGTTAAATCCTCTACAAACACACACCGAGTGTGAGTGAGGTATTAAATGTCCTATTAAACACATATTTACGAACGGCGATACAGTGGAATCAGTGTATTTACAGGAGAGCAGTAAACAGTGGAGTCTGCAATCATGGCGATGTCTTTATTTATGCTCGTTGGCTGGGTTGACTTTGCCGTCTGAAATACATTTTTGTTCTATGTAAAATGGATTTTAGTTAAGATATTATGAGTGTAGTAGAAGTACGAACCAGATAAATGGTTTATTTTGTTATAGCTGTTTAGAAATCTATGATTTTGAGAGGATTTTAAGAGGTCAACAAGGATTAAAAAAATAGGCTACATTTCTTTTACACCACGCGACACCTTTACGAGGCCTGTTTCCACAAAGAGAAAACAGTGGGGCACTTGTAAAACGCATTTTGTTTTATTTAACATGAGAAGAATTTTATCCAGTACTATTTAAATAATATCTGGGTATATATAAACTCAGAAAATTATTTGACACTTTAAAAAATACATTGTCTGCTCTCGTTAGGTAGCATTAATAATTGAAGATTATTTTAATGGAAACAACATTAAGTGGCCTAATTGCAAGACAGCATTCAGCATGGTTAGAAAAACGCCATCTGTTAATATGATTTTCCATAATAATAATAATAATAATAATAATAATAATAATAAGGTACTATTAAACAAAAATGGCGTAACAATACAAAATCATTTGACAAAACAAAATCATGCAACAAAGTAATAAATCAGTATAATTAAAATTAAATTTGAAAAAAAAAGTATAACTATATATTTAATGTGCTAATTGTGTTTATGTTTTTTTTTTTTTTTTTTGCCAAATACAGTTGTTGCTATCGAGGTGGGATACTTTTGAATTTAGGGACAGGTTATATTTGGTATAATGGTAGTATAATGGTTAGTTAAGGTGCTGGAATGAAGTCAAAGTGTAATTAAATTTACATAGACTATGTAAACAAATGCTATTTTTAAAATTTACCATGTCTCTACACAAGTAGTGGATGGTAGTGAGTACTGCAAATATTAGTACATGCTAATTGATAAAGACACTTAATACAAATTTGCTCTACATATTTTAATCAGAGTCTTTATTTTGGGCAATTATATTGCATACAAACAACATCCTGCAGTGCTAATTAACAAAAATAATTAATACAGTCATGGCTGTATTAAATAGACTACATCAAAACAGATATCAAAATAATATATTCATTCTTTGTCTTACAGGCTTTGCAGTAACCGAGCCCTCATCCATCGCAACAGCATTCTTCCTTAAATAGAACACCAACCTAAATTTGGATGTCTAACAGATTGAACTAGTCTCAGGAAGCAGTGGGCTCCGGTTTGGCGCCTTCTTTAGCTGACCCCTAACCTTGAGTTCCTGATATCCCACTCCCGGCATCATGGGAACCGTGCTATCACTTTCACCCAGCTACCGGAAGGCTGCCCTGTTCGAAGATGGCCCGGCCACAGTGGGCCACTACACGGCGGTTCAGAACAGCAAGAACGCCAAAGACAAGAACCTAAAACGGCACCCACTCATCAACGTACTGCCATGGAAGCGAATAGTAGCCGTTTCAGCCAAGAAAAAGGGGTCTAAGAAGGTGCAGCCAAACACCACCTACCAGAACAATGTTTCTCACCTTAACAATGAGAACCTCAAGAAGTCCCAGTCATGTGCAAATCTCGCCTCCTTTACGCAGGACCAGACAAGTCCGTCAAACCAAGGCTCCAAAAACTCCAACAACACAGCTTCCTCGGTCAAGAAAGCACCTCTTTCCAACTCCAACGCTGTCCCTGGGACACCCAAGAGGGTGATCGTTCAGGCCTCCACCAGCGAGCTTCTGCGTTGTCTTGGGGAGTTCCTCTGCCGGAGGTGCTATCGGCTCAAGCATCTGTCCCCTACAGACCCGGTATTGTGGCTCCGCAGCGTGGACCGTTCTTTGCTCCTGCAGGGCTGGCAGGACCAGGGATTCATCACCCCGGCCAATGTAGTTTTCGTCTACATGCTCTGCCGAGACGTGGTCTCCTCTGAGGTGGCCACAGAGCACGAGCTGCAGGCCGTCCTACTGACCTGCCTCTACCTGTCTTACTCATACATGGGCAATGAGATCTCGTACCCTCTCAAGCCATTCCTTGTGGAGACCTCCAAGGAGACATTCTGGGACCGCTGTCTGTCCATCATAAATTTGATGAGCGCCAAGATGCTGCAGATCAACTCGGATCCTCACTATTTCACCCAGGTCTTTGCGGACCTTAAAAACGAGAGCCAGAAGGAGGAGGAACGGAGTCGTCTGCTTATCGGCCTGGACCGGTGAGGGGGCTTTGGAGATGTCTTTGGTGACACTCTGATCTGGCATTTTTTAGGGAAAGTTCATGCAAAAATTTTGAATTTTGTTACATTTACTCACCGTCATGTCAATCCAAACTTGTAAGATCTTCTGTGGAACATGAAAGAAGTCACTTCATTACATTCGGAGGATCAATTGGATAATTTTGGACCAAGTTGATTTAATTTGTACAAAAGAAAGGTTTTACAGAATTGGCACATGGCAAAATCCTGCTCCATAAAGACTAAAGGTGATGATACACAGGCCAACTTTCTGAGCAATGTTGCCATCCAATGGCAACCAGGTGTATTTAGCGCACCAAAATTGGGCCCAAATCATAAAGTTTGACATTCTTGAACAGCTTTAACTAGCTAAATGCAAGACTGCATGTCGATTATCATAGCAAAAGTGAAGCAGAATATTGCTTAACATAATAATAATAAAGCTAATATCCGCTTGTTAAGTCATGATGTTTCGGTGACGTGTGGAATACTGTTTCCTGGTCCAAGCCGCTATTCATTTGAATTAAGAAAATATTGGTTCATGGCCACTTCTTAGTCCTATCACACATTAAAGTGAATTTTATATAAATCATAGTGTACACATCAGTCTCTGGACTCTCTGGATATTACGAACTAGATTTTCAAATTTATTAAAGTGCTTTTTAAACGCTTATTATTATCAACTGATGAGTCTCCCCATACAGTCTGACATAGCGCTTGGACCCAGAAGCCGCTTTGCGTGACGTCACAATTAGACAGATAAGGAATGCATGATAGGAAAATACATTATAAACACACCACAATTTAGCCCTTCACAAAAGTATACAGCAAAGCCAATTCATTGTTTGACATTGTAAGCATTAAATTACATTAAAAGCCCTGTTTTGTGTTGACTCATAACAACTTAGGACTAACATTGCTCTACAAGTTGCTCTGCGTATCATCACCTTAACCTCCTGCAGAATTTAGATCAACACTCTTACCTGAAAGATTCTGATGAGTCTGAACACATTGATTTGCTTTAGATTACAGAATCCTTAATTGAGGATGGAGCTAAACTGTAGGCCTGTGGCCCTCCAGGGAGACCCCTGCCAAAACGTTGTGATGAATAGTGCTTAATGAACCATCTATTCATAGATAGTAATAAATTAGCTTTTGAAAGGTCTTCATGAAACCATAAGTGGGATTTAATCATTTATGTAGTGATATGGATGAAAACAACACGATCCTGAAAGGACAAAGGTGAGTATTTAATGACAAGTTTTTTTTTTAAAGTAATTTTTGGTGACCAAAATGGTTTATAATTGTGTACAATGAGTGATTCTAATGGTATAAAGTCAATAATTCACTTTAATTAATAGGCAACTGGTACAATTTGTACGTGAATACTATAAAATGCCAGACACGAGTGGACCAAATGCTCCAAAGCAGTGGATATTTAAAAGCACTGACAGAAAAGACTTCAAATGAGACAAAAAGAACAACAATAATGAATGTGGACAGATTTCCAGCTGTTGTCTAGCTGATTTCTGGACACTTTGCACCAATCTTTGCCACCACTGTCAACAGAAACGGAGGTTGATTCAAAATCAACAGACACTCTGGTTCTCATGTCCACGAAACCGGACACTTCGCTGAATGATACACACATTTTCTGTTGCAAATTTTCAATCGCAAAAAAAAGGGAACAGGGCGTTTGAGTGTCAGGTTTTGTGTGTTTCTGTCCTCAAGCCACAAACTTCGAATAAAGGGAAAGGACTTGCATTGCACAGTGGCTGTTTATAGACTGTAGTTGGTGAAGAGGTTGTCAGCACATTTGTAAGAAAGACCTACTTTATTTTCATCCATGATGCAAAGCTAAACAGATCTCTCCTGTGGTGGTCTACGTCATTTTTTTTTAAAGCAACTGTGTTCGTTTGAATGCACACACACACACACAACTGGAGTTAGCTACTTTGAGTTTTTAAGCCGACTGCATATGTGTTTAGGGAATGAAATACAAAAAAAGAAGAAGTAACGAGTTAAAATAGTTGATCTTGCTATGCCTGCTTCAATGAGCCATTGTTTTGTCATTTTGTTTTCTACTCAGACACGCTTCAGGAAAGTTCTCTGTACAGAAAAGCCTGTAAATGTATCAAAAACAGTGCCATACCTTTGATGAAAATCATGTAGGTCTAAAAAAAAAAACACATAAATACCAAAGGCCGGCAAACTTTGGAACGGTAGGATTGTCATTAACAATAAGTATCTATTGGAATTGTAATTTATTGTTATTTATTAATTTTTTCACACATTTCTCTCTTGCATTTAGAGATTTTAGTGACGTGTTGTATTATAAAAAAGACTGATGGCTACCTTTAGGTGGGAATGAAGATTACGGTGAATGCGCATTAGCATTCGAATGAATAATTCAAGGCGGTAACATCTATAAGAGCTTAGTTTCAAACCATTATTAAATCTGAGAAACGCCAAGGTAATTCATCATAGTGACAGACGATCGGTTTCAGTTAAAGATGATGAATAACTGGAACCGGTTTCTCTGTGAAGTACTGTTGGGATGTTCGACATATCAGCACTGCAAAAACAATCACGAGCGATTATTATCCCATCAAAACACACGCCAGCATTAAACTGAATGAGATGTGGTCTATTTCCAGAGGCAAACAAACGATTTCAATCCTCTTTCAATCAACAACCGAACTAAAACCTGCAGCCACATCGATGATATCAATCAAACTGGATCTTGCGTGTTTTGTATGATCAATTTGCCCGCTTTAAAACATCTCAACAGTGCTAAACTGTGCATGCTTTCTTTCGGTAGTTATGTATCTCTTTCTTTATAGTCAAAAAAGAAAAGGTAAAAAAAAAAAGAATGTGACAGTCATATAAGCAAACATGTCTTTGTTAACTCATGCCTGTTCTTCTCATGACGTGAAAGTGGGATGGATGGATTTTGACTGACCTGCTCGCCCTGCTGCATTGCTTTACGGGACTGAAGGAAGCCAATTATTTTACAGAAAACGAGACTTGCACTTTTTTCTGTGAGTCTGAGGAGACCGCAGGGGTTCGAGGTTGTGGGGGCAAAGTAGGTGAAGCCCTCCTTCGCTGCTTGCCTGCTATTATTTGCCCCCAGCCCACAACAATGTGCCATTTTTTTCACTTGCATCACAGAGTAGTCCTTTGAAACAAAGAAGAAGCAAAAGATTAAAACTCCTGTCAAACTCTCTCTGTATCTGTTGTGTAATTCTTTGAAAACTGTGCTATAAAAGGATTGCATGAGAGTGTGTGAATGTGCGCGAGTGCATTTGTATTGAAGAATGTGATGTCCGTGTGTTGATTTTCTAGGATCAGAGCATGGCCGTGCTTATTAGAGAGTAGGACTCTATAGTATCAGGCTAGAGTTTGACTCGGGGTTTACGGGGTCTGTTAACATTTTGTTGTTTTAAAAAAGAAAACAAGACGAGAATCTGTTGCTGTGACCTTTTTGCGTTTGTTTTCTGCTTATTTTGATTTATTTTTGTACTGTGATGGAAAATAAAATGCACTGATCGTTAAAGACAGAGCACGGTGTGGTTGTGTTCGGACGCCATCATAATTCTAAGCTGGACTGGTCCAAATTTAACCTAGTCACATTTGAGGCACAGGGTTGTTATGTAACTGCAGCTTAGCAACATGACAACTGGCAGTTTGTCAACATAATGTCCCCTTTTTTCCAATTACTCTATGTGGGTTCACATTATGGCAAATCTAGTTATTTAGTATAATAGTAGCTTCTTAAACAGTAACATTTCTTCATTTAATGGATAACACTGAAGCTAATAGATGACTTAGCATCAGAAAAAAGCCACCAAGCCTCACGCGTAAATAACATCTCTCTGTATTTAAACACATATTTAGGCTATCTTCAGTGAGCTGGATCTTTAAATAATAAAGCTATAATTCAGTATTCAATCATACTGTATATTACATCTATTTTTGAGTGAAATGTTAACGGTCTAATCTGATTCAATGAATTATGCTAAGCTAAAAAGAACACCTACTCACCAGACCAGGAGTGGATGCAAAAATGTTTAACTCTAGGGGAGTTCGAAAATGATTATATTTTCCAATAAAAAACGGGAAGGTTTCTTTCAGACAGAAATAAGACAGCAAAGAAAAAAATAAAATCTGTTTCAAGTGTTTTTGTTTGCCTGATTGTCTGTGCTGTTTTAAGCTTAAAAAATTATAGTAGTGGAGCAAAGTGATAGTGATGATTACAGTGGTGAAATATTGATTATTAAAACAGTTATAAATTGGTGAATTAAAATGAAACTAGTCACGTTGAATCCTACACTCAATGATTTAATACGCTCTCCGCAGAAACAGATAGAAACAAAGTTTACATTTCTGTGATGGAAGTAGGGGACAAAGTAACACTATTTGGGTTTGGCCAAAAATGAACAAAGTAACAAGGTTAGACAAACCCTGTTTGTATTACCAACAAAACCAAGCCTCTCCTACAAATGAGCACTGGTTGTATTATCACCAGACCCTGTGCAAAAATGGCATAGAATTGCCAAAAGTGCCAGGAGTAAATATGTCACTATTTACCCCACCTGTGGGGCAAGTTGTAACAGTTCTAAAGTTCTCAACATTCCACTCAAAAAACAACAACAACAAAAAAAGTTATTTAAATGATGTCCAACAGTGTGTGGCCTAATTATAACACCCTGTTACAACTAATCCCACTGTGTTGTGCTTTCCTCAAAAATGGCTAGTAGTCACTGTTTTTTACTTTTTTTCAAAATGGCTTCATCTTTTATGACGGTAATCACAGCAATATAAGATTTTACGTACATACTTTCACAGATTTTTTAAAATTAAAAAAAATATTGAATATAATAAACAAATATTTTTATGTTGCAAAAGTAGTTCCTCCTGTGTTTCTCATCCATATTTCACTAAACTTGTTCAATAATTGGCTGGAAAATGTCTGCCCACACTTTGGAAACCTTGGAAGCACACTATGGTTAAACCTGAGTAAATACCTTAAAACTAAGGTATTAGTTAAAACTAAGGTATTAGTAATGTGTTACATTTTACATCGTGTTATTTTATGCTCCGAGCTTCCCTATTCTCATTATTTTGAAAACATCTAATAAAAGAAAAGAGGATTTTCTCATGGACAGTGATTTTACTTAACTAATAAGACAAAAAATACAAGCTTTAAACTTTCATTAATCTGTATACGGCATGTTAGCTCTGAGGTCAGAGTTCTAAGAAGATAACATTACTAAATTGTAACTTCTTAAATGTGTTTATTCAAGGGTAAATGAAAGAACAGCGCATTGTTCATAGCTGAGCTCCTCTATTTTAAAAAAGAAGAAAAAACACGCAAGTTAGAGATCAAGTCTTAGACAGGGGTTTGTTCTGGCACAGCAGTGTAATGACATAATCTGATCAATATTGAATTATCCATGTGAGCAAAATTATATAAAATTTGTAGTAAACGGTTTGTTAAATATGATACACAATAACTTTCCATGTTTGTGTGGGCTGCAGGCTTTACACTTTCATGTGTCAGTAGTATTTATCAATTTATTTAGTTTTACATTTTAGATCGAATTTTCTTTACTATAGCAGCCCAGGCCTAAATTAATTTCATAATCGGTCTAAGGAATTTAAAGTAATTTTGCATCAAAAAAACATTTTGATATCAGTAAAGGTGTATGCAACTTTTGCAAATCACCGGCATATTAGCTTTCTAAACATGTACAAGACTGCATAAATTATTATTACTTTATAAAAATTAAAAACAAAGTCGAATATTGTTCATGTCTATTTTCATACAGAAATTGTACTAAAGCTGGATCAGTACCTTAAAAGGGTAAGCATTTGTATCTAAAAATGTCTGCCCCACCCCATTTTTGTACTTTTATTTCGGAGTGCAGATTGCATAATTTTTATATATATATATATATATATATATATATATATATATATATATATATATATATATATATATATATATATATATATATATATATATATATATATATATATAAGACATAAATATCATTAATTATTTAATATTAAATAACATAAATTATTATGAATTATAAATGTGTATATATAAACTTTTAAAACTATTTTACCAAGTGTATATAATGTGTAGGTTACTACAAGAAAATATCAACGTTCAGTACATACTTTTAGTATTACCTTTGCTTGAAATGATCCAATCTAATTCTGTTTATGTGAAATAAACCTGCTTCTGAGCAAGTTTGAGATACGCAAACTGTTGCTATGACAACAACTATAGGATGAGTTTTTAAGAACGAAACGATCCTGGATCATGTCAAAATGCCAATAACCAAATCCAGCTAATTGAGTAATCCACACACAAAGAACGGACCCCTGGTAAGAAAAGGTAACCCAATAGTAACACAAAAGTACACAACACATTACTTACAATTAAAAAAATATCTAATCAATGCAACTTTTGGGGAGTAACTCTATATTTTAATGCATTACTTTCAAAAGTAACTTTCCCTGGATATTTATTTGATTTATTTTTGGTTGTTTACATTGTTTTCATGTCTGATTTGATTTGTGTAACAGTAAAACATACCTGTTTAGAAGTTTTATCAGCCGTTTCAAAAGTTACTTTTCTTTTCTATGAAATATGAAACATACAATGTCTGTAACATTATTCAAAATATCTTTAACGTGTATCGAATATCACATTATTTAGCAAATCATATTTTTTTTGCCCTAAAATAAACACAGATTTGCACGTTTATAAATGTAAAATGTGACAGACATCCAAAAATAAATAAATAAATAAACAATAATATTAATAGCAATAATATAAAAATATAACAATAATAATAAACAAATAGTTTTGGCAATTATCAAAAGCAAAGCAACCCAATTAAATGTATAAAATAAAACAATGTCTCTTCTATAAAAAGAAAATCTTTTTTACATAACAGAATATTTGTTTTCTTTCGTTACTGATTCAGGTTGTGATTCCACATATTCTGTATTTTATTACAGAATACCAATATTTTAGGACAGATTTCCACCTTTAATTAAAATACCCGTTTATGAGAATAAACCATGTGAGCATGAACCCTCACACAACTGTCACTGGATGTGCTTTGGCCACACCCACTCAAGAAAAGATTGACAGGTGGAAAAACATCACCAACTTCCCAGCGGCAAACAGCTGCTCACCCTGAATTGATGGCAGATCAATAAAATAATGACAATATATCAGTGTGATGGAGCAAGAGCCTCGGAGCAGACACTTCAAGGGCACGTTTATTTTCAAGAGAAAATATCAGATACAGCGTTTACTTGATTAACAAAACCGACTATCATAAATCAGTAATACGGATTCTACTCAATACATTGATTTGAAGGTCTAGTTGTTTGGTTTCTAATTTCTGACAATGCATGTTAATTATCGCATTAATATATACGTAAACAAGAAAACACACAGTATAAGCCGGATTCCCTTTTCGGTTTGGTCCACATTTTTAACAATTTCAACATCACTTTAATACATATATATTAATTAAATAAGAGAAGTATAAAAGTAGGCACATGGTTTGATCGGATCAGACTAAATCTTCAATATCAACCAAGCTATAATTACAACAATAGAAATTACGGATGTTTATCTGGGAGCTGAAAGTATTCGGCACTTAAATCCAATCACCACAGGAAAGAAATAAATAATTATATATCATATAACAACCCTAACAATATATGCCAGAATGAAACTAGCTTCTCAATCTATTTTATGCAATTGAACAATCACATAACTCCTATTATCAGCGCACACATTTTTAATATATTCCACCTAAAGGCCAGTTCGATTGAAGATAATAGATGTTTAGTGTTCGGATTTTACTTTTCACAACTACGAGAGAATAAAATAGGGCAGAGCGTCTGATTTTATCCATCTAGACTACTTTGTTCTTGCTTTTACTGACATACTTTACCAAATCCAGGCTAATAGAAAGCAGGGACTGAAGAAGTGGACGAGAGAGAAAGACTTGAATATTGTTTTCTATGAAAAAACACATCTTAAATGAAATGATTTGAACAACATTGACTGAGCTTCATTTCAGATCACTTCTTAGAGCTCAAAGTCTGTCAGCGACAGATCAGCATCCGTGGCTTAAAGCTTGATATCGAGTCCACACGCACATATACACACATTGGAGAAAGCTTATTTTTGGCCACAAGCAATGATCCTAATTAACTGATAAACAATATCTTTCGAAATGCAAACCACAAACAAAAGAAAACAATTACAGGAAAACAGATTTATGCAAACATCTGCTTTGGAAGGAAGATCAACAGTCAGTTTTCGGCTTGGCACTTTTTTTTTTTTCATCAGTTGCGAAAGCTTCAAACTGGGTCAGACATCTTGGGAGTTTCCACTCAGAACTCTGTTGATTTTGTTCTATGAATCAATACTGTTCTCTGTCTCTCTCTTATTTGAACACATTTACTCAGACAGATGTGCAAAGCTGGTAATATTAACACCCGCTGTTTGCTGTGTTAATAGAACTATAGCTGACAGAAATAAATTAGACCCTACCCTAACTAAATAGGTTTTATTTTTCAAACTTTTCTTTGTTTTGTTTTTTGGTGGTAGATTTTTGGCTCAAGTAAAAATAGCGACTACTTTGGATTCACTCTTTGTAAACATTGTTTGGGTACATTTACATAGCATAGCTTCAACTAAAAATAGAAAACTTATTGTGTTTTGGCTGTTCCTTTATATGATAACAGCATTTCAGGCTTGTTTATCCAAAATCAAACAAAAAAAAAATGCTCAGGGGACAGCTTATGTAATGTGTCTTTGCTCTTAGGGTAAGAGATTCATCAGAATAAACAGAAAAAAAATAGTCCAAGGCACACAAAAAATCTGGAAAAAATATTAAAAACGCTACCCTGGTGAAGGCAGTTGTTTGCCAAAAGGAATAGTTGCAGGTTTACCGTTTTAAGCAATAGCCAAGTCAATAAAGGCTTTTACATTTTTTTTTCCACATTTCTCGAGTGCCTTGGACTGATTTTTGCTGTTTAAAACTGTTATCCACTTTGATTGCACTGTTAATTTGTGAAACAACAATGGCAGACGACCAGACATTGATGTGTTTATATGTTGAAGACTGTACATGCGCACTGATGTGTAGGGTTTCTAGCGATCCTGTTTTGCATGTTACAATATTATTTTGTCCTTTTTGCTGTTTCAAGTGAATAAACGCCCCTTTATTAACATTTTCATTGATTTATGGCTGTTTTCCATTTATTTACGCTTCTGAATTGTATTAAGGGACCTTAAAGGGATAGTTCACCAAAAACTGAAAATTCTGTCATCATTTACTCAATCATCACTTGTCACACTTGAGCAGCTGAAATGTTTTGAAAACATGTAATTATTGACCTCCACAGTATTTGTATTTACATGGAAGAATTAACTATGGATCTATGGAAGCCAGTTGCTTCATGTTTTAACTTTTTTTGTAAAATATCTTCTTTTGTGTGTGACAGAAAAAGAAAACTCATAAAGCTATAGAACCAGGTTGAGTGCATCTAAATGTGTGGGTGAACTATCCCTTTAAAATCATAAATAAATGAAACACAATGTGAATCTCGAAATACAGAGTTTTGAATGGGTATCATTTTGCTAACATTAACATCTATAGATGGAACAGTTCCATTTTTAGTTTATCGTCATATAAATGTTCACTTAATGGCTTTAACATTACAGAAGTGGTTTGTTTTTGTTTTATTTATAATTCTTTCATATATATATATATATATATTGAAGGACAAAAGGGCATAAAAAATCTACTCCAAGGTCACGGGATATGTGAATAAATGAGTTTTCATCCTACCTATGCTGTATATATTGCGTATACAGTACATGATACAAACTATATCCAACTATATGACAGTTTCTGTATACAATATATGCTATAAATGACCAGCTATATGCAGAAAAAGAGAAGTTTAAATTACGAGAGAGTTTAATGCTCCTCTCTGAGCAGTGAATGAGTTTACGGATATGATCAACACATCCAAAAAGAAAAAAAAACATCCGAGCAGCAACCTCAGGACTGCTTCTGTTCTGATCTGTGCAATACATCAGGAATTAAGCAGAGCTATTTTTCATCCCACATGAAGCGGTGATCAAAAACCAATATATTCCCTTTGAATCTCAAGTTGGATACTTTAAAAACTCTGCATATCCTGTTAATCATAAACATTACATTCATGATCACCCTTCATTTGGTTGTGATGTTTAATAAATAGAATCGAGTCAGGTAAATCTATCCTAATACCACCTTGTCACGTTGTAAATAATCAAAGCTAAAGTTTGGAATTCAGGGACAAACTTCTCTAAATTAAACGTTCCTCCTTGCCCTGTAATCAGGCAAATTTGGTATGGCTTCATTTTGACTACCCAGCTGTAAATGTCCTGGAAAATGGGATCCTGGTCCTCTAGTTGCCTGGCACCGAGAGAATGTATCCCGATCGGCTTTTGGTGAAGTCTGGCTGTGATTGGCTGATCTTGGTTTCCACGACCACAGTGCACTTCCTTCCATTCATACTGCAGTGAATGGGGCTCACAGTGTTCACCTGTAGCTTCCTCTTCTCACTAGATAGAGAGAGAGAGAGAGAGAGAGAAAATCATTGACATATTCCATATGTTGTTGTTTTGGTTTGCAGCGCTCTGTCTGTGTGCTTGTCTCATCTGGTTGAATGTTTCTGGGTGGATGGGCATTTTTTACGCCAGACTGTTTTGCTGAAGGGATCAATGAGGCTCTAGAGTAATTCACAGAAAAAGAGAGGCTGTGTGTGTTTTTTTTTTTTTTTTTTTTTTTGAGAGAGATAGGGATAAATGGAAAAGTGTATCACACACACACTCTAAAGTTGAAGGCAACAGATCTAACCGCTAAAAGCCTTTTTATAGAGAGCAAACCTTTTAGCTCTGCAATTACATCCTCACATCACACTGGAAAGCTGTATATTGAAAGTGTGACGCCAATTTGAACATGAGATTGAATATTCTGGGTTCAGTAGTGGTAGCTAGGGTCAATCGGCAATGTCATTTTGCTATTGTAAATACGATTTTCCACTTAAATTGATATTGACAGCAAACATTATTTGGAATTTAAAGGAAATTATTTGTTAAGTTTACTTTTGTTTATGCCAAAACAAGCAATTTAAACGCATGTATTTAGATGTAAACAATATTACATATTTACAGCTAAAAAAGGTTAATTTTTAACTTTTATTCACATCTTTTATATCATACATACACTTTAATTATTGCATTTTCATTTATATCCATAAATTATCAAGAATTTCAATTAAAAATGTTAAAATGTCACTTTCTGAAAACAACAACAACAACAACAACAACAACTTTTATTTGAAATTTAAAGAAAATGTTATTAGTGTTAAATGTTACCTTTATAAAATAAATAAATAATTAATAGAATTTTACTCAAACCCAAACCTAACATCTTCCAGTATGCACAGTTTAGGTCCAAACCCAATTAAACACAACTGATTAAACTAATTGAGTCCTTCAGGCTTGTTTGAAACCTGCAGGTTAGTGTGTTGAAGCAGGGTTGGAACTAAACTGGTTTGACACCTCTGGAGTAAATCCAGGAAAACTGAGACCAATCAATACTTTTTTCCTCTTCAATTAAAAAAATAAATAATGTGTCAAAATTTAAGGAAAATTATTTACTAACTCTTTATATATAAAGCAGCACCCAAAGTTACTATGCAACTAATGCAATTTAGCTTTTACTATCTCTTTTCTTTCTCTAATAGCTTTTAACACTTTCACATGACAAATTCTTGAACAAACTGTTTTCGTAAAATATCATTGAATGTTCTGTCTTTGTGTTCATTACAGCAGAACATCAACAGCTCAGTCATCTGCTATATTAGAAGTGTGATTCAGAGTGACATTCACCAGGCGGCTTATGTAAGAAATCCTGCTGATGAAAAAGTGCTGGTTTTACTGAGTTTACTGTACCAGACACACACTTCTATAGCAACACAATGAACTTGATCATGTGCTGAAGCTGAACCGGCACCAATTTATTCCTTCATTCACAATCATTGTAACGGGGCTGGACTATCTTACAACTACTAGTGTACATTGCCCTTTACTATCATAGGCAACATTGGTAAATATGAGCAAAGTAGAATATATATATATATACCTGATATTGTTGAAATCCTTTTAAACTGTTTCTGTGGTGATGCATGTTTTGGTGATGTCAGGTTGTGATGTCATTTCCCATTCTGTGAATTTAAGCCCAGGACACACCAAGCTGATGTCAAAGAACTAGCAGTGCTGAAAACCACTGTGTTTTCATCTAACATGGCTGTGTGTTTTCCTGTCCAAAAAGCTGTACATGAACACACCAAACAGAAGACAGCCAACAAAAGCGAGAATGTATGTGAGAGGGTGTATCTTTCCATTCTCATCGGTGGCAGTACTCTGTATTGTCAGTTTTTGTTCTTGCCAATCAGGGTACTCTCTTTCACTGATTATTGATGTCAATTCTACATGCTGAATTATGCAAACTCCCTCTAGCGTGAGCCCGACAAGAGGTGACAAGTGGAACCCACTAGAATAAAACTAGCCTGACAGACACTCACCAAAGGTCCGACACTACCTCAAGGCTCACTAGCTTTTGTTTCCTCATTGTTATACTCCTAAGAAACTTTCATAGGTCAACAATTTCATTATCCTACACAGCCAGGTGTACTAAAATAAAAAAGTTTATTACTGCGTCCAAAATTGCCTACTACTCAGTAAGTACTGCATTTCAATTTAAAAGTAAGCCTTAGCCATTAGAAAAGTATGTTCTATACAGTATGAATGTCAGTAGTATGAATGGAACTGGGAAAGTGCAGAGTGCATCGGATGCACACTTCTTAATCTCACACTTCTGAATCTGAAGGTCCTCCAGACACTTCTCGCATACTGATTTTCGAATTCTAAGAATTCGGACATACTACTCAGCTTGCAAACAGTTTTAAGCACACTATATAGAACAAAAGTATGAGATTTCAGATGTAGACAACAGGATTACGCTTAAGGTTTTGAGCTCCACAGTCTCATACGTTTTAAGGGTGATTTATACTTCAGCGTCGAGTGATGGAATCTGTCTAACACGTAGTGATATTGCTCGGCAATTACACTTCCAAAACACTGGCTGGCAGTAGGTTTTTTATGTTTCTCTGTGTCAAGTTTCTTCTTGGATGTTTTATTTTTTCTGAATGCTACTAGTAGCTAAAACTCACTCATTTAGTGTCGGGAACCGGCAGACGTGCAACAACTTAAATCATAAGGTAAACTCAAAACAAAAGTTTCCGTCTGGAGCTCCTTTACAGGATTCGACACTTGTTAACTCTCGCTCCATCGGTTCGTGACTCTCAGCACTGCCCAGGCTCATCCTCACAGCTTGTGCTGTGCATTGTTATATTGTGTGTAGTTATATCTTTTGAGAGGTGTGCACCAGCGTTGGCATCAACCACAGCGAGGGTTATAGGCTGCACCCGAGCATACGCATGCACTTGATGCAGAAGTATAAATCAGCCTTTAAGTTGCATGGGTACAGTATATTTGAAGATATAGCTAACAATACATTGTATTGTATCTTTCATGCCAAAATGATTTAAAGATTAACCCTTTGTGCATATCTTATTATTAATATAGAATCAGAATACACAGTCAGGAACACAATTTAACCAAAGAAATTGTTGAAAATAAATTATTTTTAAAGGGAAGTCAACTTGTAGAGTAACAAAAACAAACAAAGACATTTTGTAAATATCCTTCTGTAAATATATTAAAACATTTTGGATTTGTAATTTGCATGCCTAAATAAGAGCTTATTTTGGACAACTGTAAAGGTGATTTTTTCAATAATGTTTAACCCACAGATCATATATTTTCAAATAGATGTATCTCGGCCAAATATTGTGCTTTACTAACACATCATACAGAAAAGATTAAAAAGGTGTACCCGTATGACTGGTTTTGTGGCCCAAGGTCACTTAAATATTGATGCAACTGTGCTGTGCTGGCAACAGTTTGTTCTCAATATGAGCAGCATGTGGATATTTGTTAGTATTTTGAGCAAAAGATCAAAAGGTTTAACAGTAGCCATTTTTTCACAGTCTTTTTTACTCGTATTTACCAAGGGTGCCAATATTAGTAGAGGACACTGTACATGCTATACAATTTCTCAAGCTTCCCGTTGAGGTGGGACTGAAAGGTTAGTCAATGAATGGCTTAAGGTGTACTTGAGTTTTGATTTTCGCAGCAGGGAAGGGCAGGAAGACTGCAGATTTGGCCATAGTGAGCATCTGTGTGTGATCTAGACTCTCTCTCACAGCGCTGGGAAGCAGACGGCTCTGCATGGCCCACTGGAAAATCAATAGTTTCCAGCTCTACTCTCCCCTGTGCCTGTGCCCTTCACGCCAACTGACGCACCACCTTTGAGGCCTGCTCTGCTGCTGCTGCCCAGAATAGCTGGAGTATTAAGGCAAGAAAAGTGAATTC